AGCCACTTCTGCATGAGTTCAATTCTCGCCTGCCCGGGAGGTGACCACATGGCGTGGCAGACCTCTCCTGGCCCGCCCACTGCTCCCCTCAGCAGTGTACTTTGTAGATCTGCCTGTTCTGCTCCCCACTCTATCTCTGGTGAGAGGCCCCTGAGCCTCTGGCCTGTACCCCAGTTCTGTATGTACAAATAAATAAATCTTTAAAAAAGTAAAATGAACACAATCCAAATGCAAAACATATAAATGTAATAAAAACTATCTAGAAAAAAATAAATTAAAAGCTCAAAACACATCAATTAAGTGATTATTTTAAGCATTCTTATTCCCTAAAGGCTTAATAAACTTTACTCATGGTGGCCCTCCCTGGTGACGCAGCTGTTTAAAGCACTGCACTAAGAAGCTGAAACCACTTCCGCATGAGTTTGAGTCCCGCCTGCCCCAGAGGTGACCACATGGCGCAGCAGACCTCTCCTGACCCGCCCGCTGCTCCCCTCAGCAGTGTACTTCATCGATCTGCCTATTCTGCTCCCCACTCTGTCTCTGGTGAAGTCTTTCACCACCCCTGAGTCTCTGGCCTGTACCCCAGTTCTGTATGCACAAATAAATAAATCTTTAAAAAAAAAAAAAAAACTTTACGCATGGCTCCCTACTGTCTGTGGCGTACAAAAGTCTTCAGTCCAGACCTAGTTCTAAATCTATTTGCCAATGTGCCCCTTTACTCACCAAACCTTAGTCTCCAAAATCACTGAACCCACCTCTGTTTCTTACAATCTCCAAAATGTTGTATATCAACCTCCCTCAAAGTTACTTTGTTCCCAATGTTCCAGGTTTCATACTTACCCGCCTTTCCACACTCAGCTCAGATGCCCCTTAATTCATTCAACCTTATCCACCACCGGCCACTCTCTGCTCCTCTGTGCCTTGGGGATCTCAACTACTTGGGGGTACACCAGGATTGAACAAATAAGTAAATACAGATAAGAAGAGGCAGGTTTCCAACTGTCTGAGAAATAAGTTACATGTAAGGAACAGGCTAAAATATTCAAACTCTTGAATTAATATCCCACAGGCTGGAACTACATCGTAGTATGAACTTGTTTTTATAGATCAAAAGATAGATAGACAGATGGACAGACAGATAAAAGCAGATAGAGAGTGCAGGCGTAAGTTTAGATGTGTGTATGTCCCAGCTCTGTCTCCTGGGAGAACAATGGCAACTTCTAGCAATATGCATCTACTGAAAGTGAGGATCAGTCTCCAAAAAGTAATGGGGACATAAAGAGGGCCCAGGATCAACATGAAGGGGTTTCCAATGGCCAACGCTGGAACAACGTGAGCAATAATAGCTACTTTGACTATAACCTAGTGAATAAAATAAATACCCATGAGTCCATACTGATAAAAACAGTTAACTACGGGAGCAGGGACGGCTTTTTCCTATAGAATTCCAATGAACAAATGTAGAAAGTAAGGAAAATAGAAAAATCATTAACTTGCTCATTAAAGTGAACAAGCCAGAGCCATCTAGAAAACCCTTGTGCTCTGCCTGGATTAAGGAATCCAGTGTTTAATTAAGCTTCTCGTCTCTATTCTTATAAACTCAGCTGGATAAAGGCCATCACTTAGCACACAGGAAGCAGAGCATGGTGGCAGACCTGAGGTCCTGGCTCTAGGCTGAAAACGACCCAATTTCTACACAGCACCATCCCACACCGTCCTCACTCTCTACAACCCCAAATTTCTGGGACTTCATTTCTTCCCTTGAATTACTGGTTCTTCTGTGACCTAACAAAACTCTAATTATCCTACAAGATCTAGTATGCTTTTCCAAAAGTCCCCAGTGTTATTAGGACACATTTGGTTGCAGTGACAAAACCGAACTAAAACCAATTTAATCAAAAAGAGCAGTTCATGGCACACGTAACCAAAAAGTCCTGTCCAGCTTCAGCCTCAGCTAGACCAGTAAAAGGAAACACCTCTCTGCAATACTGGCTGTCCCTTCATGGTGGAAAATGGCTGACAGCAGCTTAGCTAAGCAGGTAGAAAAGACAGAGCTACTATTCCCCCAAGGTGACCTGGAACTGGTGCTCATCAGCCATCCCTGAATCAATCCCTAGGGTCCGAGGAATGGACTCCAATGAAGGGCTGAGTCACACACCCACCCTTGGAGCTGCAGGTATACACACACTGAAATTTCATAGTGTATACATGAGATGGGTGTGGTTCCCCAAATGATGCTGTTCCTCAAAACGAGAATGGGTCCTGAGCTGCAAAATTATGTCCACTGTACCCCAAGCCCTCAGTGAGAATCAACTAAGTCCTGCCTCCCCCAGTCTACTGCCTGGATGTCTGCACCAGCCATGACTCTTGATGGACAGGCCAGGCTACCCACATCTTTGTTTTCAAGCATCCTGGGCACTGGGAGTCTGGTTTGCCAAAGCATCTGGGCCCTGCCCCATCCCCTCAGCAGCCTAACAAAGTGCCTCTGGGCCTCCAGAGCACGCTCCTGCACCAAGGCTCCCACCCTCGCCTGATGAGCTGAGTCACTGGGATCCCAGGCATCTGAGCACCAACCTTGAAAGTCTTCTCGACATCACTGCCTGCCGAGCTCATCTCCCCTCGCTGGTGTACTCTGGGACCTGGGGACACGGGCTTGACAGGTAGGGTAATTATGTTTTACCCTTCACTCACTCCTTTATCAGTCACGAGGACGAGAATGGATAAGGGTTCTGATGGAAGAGCACACTCCTGCAGTATTTAGTCGGGCTCTTCAGTGCCAGCTTGTTCCCCCCCGCCCAGGCGTAACTCCCAAGGACCTGCCTCCACCCGCTATCGGTGCCAGCCACGACAAGCTGCCCTCTTGTCAAATGCCAGTCTGCACTTTCCTTACTGCATCTCCCAAAGTTGTCAACTTCTCCAGGAGCTGCGGAACTGCTGCCTTTCAGATGACTTACACATGAAGGACGATTGTCTTCACGACACCCATCCTGCCTGCTCTGCAGAGGGCAGATGGAAAAAGGGGTGCAGGAAGTATTAAGCTTCAGATTCTTCACTACAAACTCACACTTCTTTCACACATTCAACAAACCTGTTTTTCAGGACCTACTGTATCTGGGTACTGCTGTAGGTGCGACAGACATGGAAATACACAACATGGACCAATCTCTGTCCTCACAAAGAAGACCTTGTTGTACACATCTGATTTATTCCTGATACCTGTTGTAATAGCTGCTTTTACATTTCACGAGGCACAGTCTCTGATATTAGCTACATACTCCTCAGTAAGTAATATAACTTTCTCTAGTCCACAGACGAGGAAAATGGCAGATTATGCTGATGACAAAACTTACACTCTTCTAGGCCCTCTCCCAAGGCAAGGAACTAGCGGGGTGCAGCCTGGAACTGAATCAGCATTAAACTGACTCCATCCTAAGCATCATTGCTCAAGGAAGAACATACAAAAAAGACCTGATCCCCGATATAAAAAAAAAAAACTGATAGCCTACAGGGAGAGAAAGACATATAACCAACTATCATCTGTGGCAGAAATAAAGAAGACAGAGTGATTATATTCAAGTAAGAAGTTATCTCTGAAGGAGACACAGAAATAATGATCACCTCCAGGCAGGAAAATAGGGTACCTGAGGGACAGGATAGAAGGATCATTTCGTATGTTTAAATATTATATATTCTGAATTGTGTACCATATGAATCTATTTCCCATTAAATGACACTTTGAGGATGTAATCAGCCAAATCCTGAATGCGGAAAACTCTACAGGATAAATGATTTGGTTTCTTCAACAAGCAAGTAGCTATTAAAAAGAAGTGGGGTGAAAAGGAGGAGAAATGTTAAAGATTTTACAAGATTTAGGAAATGTCAACCAAATGACAGAATATAGTTACCTTATTTAGATCTAGAGTTGAATAAACTAACTGTGAAAAGACATTTTTGGGCAAAGAGAAATTTAAATATGGACTAATTATTAGTGGTGATTAAGGAATTACAGTTAATTTTGTTAGGAATTATATTTTGTTTAAAAGGCCTTTATCAGAGGTACATACTGATGTCTTTACAGATAAGATAAATGATGCCTAAGATTTACTTTTAAATACTTCAGTAAAAAGTAATAATAAAGAAATGAGTGAATAGATGAAGAAGGGAACAGATGAAACAAGATTGGCAAAGTGTTAATAATTTCTGAAGCTGAATGACATATCCCCATAAGGTTTCACCATATTGTTCTCTCCAATTTTGTTAATGGCCAACGTTTGAATAAGGAAAAGTTTAAATAAATTTTTTAATGAATTATTCCATCCCAGATGATTGAGAAGGAGTGTATCACAGAGGAGAGTTTAAGCTGAGTGCAGAAAAATGACTAGGAATGTTCTAAGGGGCAAAGTTTTATGCTGAGCAAAAACAGACACAGATGTGTCCTAAGTCTGTCTCTGGATGAAACTTAGGTATCTACAAGTGCTCCAAATTCAACTGACATCCAACCAAAAGACCCTGTGCTTGATGCCCCAATTCTCCAGGCCATCTCACTAGAGCATCAAAATCAAATACCCCGTTTCGAGTGAGGACAGAGTGTGGAGTTGACGGCTCCACCCAGCCTTCAGAGGAGAGAAAAGCAAGTGACCTCTTTGAAAATTGAGCTTTGCCTGGTCCAGCAGCCTGGAAAGCAGCTGAGGTATCCCTCTGAGTCACCCCAGACACTCGTGCTCCCCAGAAACGCACACCAGCCTCCCCAAAAGCACCTTGCAGAATAACCTCATTGCCTAGGGATGCAGCTTGATGTCTGCCTGACACCCCGGCACATCAGCACTAACACACCGGCCAGTGAAGGAAGAGTTGCTCCTCCCTCTTCCTGCCAAGCTCCAGCCTCTGACCCCACCATGCTGCTCTACGGGCACACAGGAAACTGGCTGGATAATCCGGCTTTGTGGGCCACTTCGGGATTCACCTGGTCCTTCTCTGGCTCAGGTGAGTTCCACATTTACCTTTGATCGAAGCTGCAAGTACTCCTCCGAGCCGTAGGGGACGCTCCTCAGAGAGGTAAGGTAGTCATAACTGATAACTGCCGTCTGTGAATCAGCGAAGAAGATTAAATGCCAGACATGAAACAATAACCCCCTGCCCAAGCCCTCAGCTGCAAACGCCAGACACAGGCTGCGGGTCAGGAGATGTACAGTCCACCCCTAAGATGCCCTGCCCCGGATAGTAGCCTGGACGGGTTCTTCCATCATCAGGGATCTGCACAAAGGGCTCTGCAGAGGGCCCCAATGTAAAGTTGCCACTACCCAACAAGAACCCTCAACTATTTATCATAAAAAGTCACCACCCAAAATTACCTTGTTCATTTGTTTCCTCGTTTATGAACTGAACTCCTCTTTGCTAGAATTTTAGCTTTGTAAGGGATTGTCCTTCCTATTTATTGTCATCATACACCCAGCACCTTTTATCGGCAAATGTGGAAATGCTCAGTAAATACTGAATAGCTGAATGAATGCTGCTGGATAAGCTTTCCCAACGCTCTGTTTCACAAAGCAGTATCATTTCACATGAAGCTTTGCTCTAAGAGCATAAATTCTAATTCGGGGTCCCTTGAACAAAACTCCAGAAGTCCCCTTTTCCTTGGAGAGTCAGATTACAGGCTCCCAGGTTAACTCGGCCATGGAGGAGCCCTGGATTAACCTGCCCACACCTGCCTTTGTAGAGCTAAGTAACTGGGGCCCCTAGAAGTTGAATGATGTTCTAATCAACAAGGCTGGTATTGAGAGGGGTCCGTTCCTTTGTCTGCACCCCAAAGCCCTACTCCATTTGATATAGACTTGTCAGAGGCCAACCAAAAGCAAGGCCTGGTCACTGAGAGGTGCACCGGGCTGACTGAGACCAAAGCCCTGGCCTTTAAAGAATACACAGGCTAGTAGCTGGTTAATGCCTCCCCTGCCCTTCTGACTATTCAAATCCCTAAGATTCCAGCAAACCCTTCTTTCCCCCCAGCACCCATCTTGACCCCCAGCCCATGGGAGTCCTATTGTAGTGGTCACCTGAGTCACAGATGTTTTTTGTGGCCCAAATGGCCTCAATCAGTTCATTTCTGTGGCTGAGACAATTTAAGACAAAGCTTCCCTCAGTAAATGCTTGGGGATTCTTTCCTATCCCATGGCCTGTCTATGCACTGATCTGTCTTCATTCTATGACTTGGTTTACCCTCAAGGACAGGTATCCCCACTAAGCAAGGCTAGGGAGATTTGATGACACTGAATTCTAAGAAAACCACACAGAGGGACCTTTGCACATGTAAGGATGTATAGCCAGGTGTGTTATTAGTGTAGCCACCTGATACAAGTACAAACACCTGCAATGGGGTTAGACAATAACCCAAAGGGACTCTGCATCAGAACATATCAACATCAGGGAGGGAGGATGTGTTCATCTTGCAGTGCAAAGGAGAAAGAAGTGGCAAAGGGAAGCAAGTGGCAATTTATCCACCAACAGGGCAAATCTATAGGAATGTCTGGGAGATTTGCTCTCAGCCGAGGACACGATCACAAAGACCAGAGTTCATGAGCAGCTGGAGAAAACTTCCACCCATCAAATTTCAATTTGGATTCCCAGCATGGAGATCAGTGGAGATCCCCAAAGTTCTCCTAGGCCCAGAACTTCTCAGTATGAGCCCTGGCTAGAACCATTCACACTAGTTCATTAGAGAGAGACCAAGTTTTCCTGAAACCTAAAATGTAAAGGATTCGGCACAGAGACCCAGGGCAATCGATCTGTTTAGCTCCAGGAAGGCATGGCAGAGGTCATGCACAGAAGGAATACAGGTGCGGGAGGGTGCACATCCATGCCTGTGCAACTACATAGAGGGGTCTGCACACACATAAGGGTGCATCTCCAGGTGTGTTATTAGTGTGTCCACCTGCCACAAGTATGCACACCTGCAGTAATACTGCGGTTCCTCTGCCATCCCCAATGAGAAAAACCTACCGTAGCGACTGCTCTGCCCACCCTGACAGCCCCAAAGTCATTAGGGTCCAAGTACTTGTTGCTGTAGAGGTAGAAGCCAGAGGCGGCAAGGGCCATGCTGGTCCACGAAGCAAGTCTGACAGCCCTTCTGGCCATGGCCCCAGATCCTACAGAAGGAAAGCAGAGAAAGAGGAACGGCTAAGAGGTTGGCAGTCGGAATAGCATTCAAAGCCAGGCTCTGCCACTTGATAGGTTGGCTGAGCCTGTTTCCTCACTTGTAAAACTGGATGATACTCACCTCAAAGTTATTAGGATACAATGAGATTGTATATATAAAATGCCTAGCACAGTGTCTGGCACAGGTCAACTCTCAAGGTCATTCTTACTCCAACAGTGCCTGGCACTGTTCTAGGCACTGGGGAGAAAGGGGACAAAACAGAGTTATTGCCCACATGGTACTGCCACTCTAGCAGGGATGCAGATAACAGGCAGACACATAATATATTAACCTAGTAGACTGTCAGGTGGAATTAAGTGCTAAGAAGACCATCAGAGAGGGCAATAGGAAGGGTGACAAATATGAGACCAAGGGTGCTATTTTAGGACCCCCAGGCCATGGGTGCCAACCGAGACACTGTGATATTACAATATTGTCCTGAGCCCTACCTACCCAGGTCAGAAGCGGTCAGGCTGCAGCCAAGATGGCAACTGGCCAAGTAGCCAGGTAACCCTCCACATCCAGATGACTTTCAAAATACTCATTTCAGGTCAAACAGACTGCTCCCCATCTAGGCTGCAAGCTTGAGGGCAAACATCATGAGGCTGCTGCTTTGTTCACACACTCCTGCAGGATGCTTCAAAGGGGTTCTGTGTTCTCCGGCCCACTTGGTCTGTTTCAGCAAACTTCGCTTCCCCACCAGTGGGGCAGCAGGCTTCCTTGCCCTCTTCATACAGCTCAGTCCACTGGTGGCTGCACCCAACCCCTAGGGCCTGCATTAGCAGCCTGGAATTCTCAACAGCAGCTACAGTGGTCAGGCAGAAGCCCCACCCAGGTGGTGGGCACCACCACACAAGAGCAGGTGCGAACCTGCACAGATGCGGCAGGAAAATTCCGGTGGTCACCTGTATGTTTCTGCTCTGGTTCTAGCCACGGCGTCATCTCCCTGCTCTGTACCACTGCTTCTATAAAACTAACGCTACAAGCTACCTTACCTTCATTTCATTAAAGTCGCTGTTGACTCAGGCTTCATAACACAGCCAAGATTTTTCTTAAAGGAACCACAGGTACATCTTGTTTTCCATTCCTTCACATTTTATTCTCTTTCCCTTAACAGCATACATTTATTTCTTCTCGCATTCACTATAACTTTTATTTGGCTTTCATTCTACTGTTCTCCATAATTTCTATTTTGCCTACCTGTTGTTTCTTTTCCTCTTTTTTTTTAAAGATATATTTATTTATGCATACAGAACTGGGGTACAGGTGCAGGGGCAGTGAGAGGATTCACCAGAGACAGAGTGGGGAGCAGAACAGGCAGATGGACTAAGTACACTGCTGAGGAGAGCAGCAAGTGGGTCAGGAGAGGTCTGCTGCGCCATGTGGGTCACCTCTGGGACTGGATCCAACTCGCACTGAAGTGGCTGCAGCCAGCTTGCAGTGCTGCGCTTTAACCCCTTGCATCACCAGGGAGGGCTCTCCTCTCCTTTCTTGACTTTTTCTGGACTCAATATCTTTTACGCTTCTCCTGCTTTTCCTCTCCTACACCAACATTTCTAAAATACAGCCTGAGGAACACCTGCAAAAACGATCACCCTAGTGCTGTTGGAAACACACAAATTCCTCTAAGACTTAGAAGTACCTCTCCTAGGTATTTATCAGAATATGAAAATACTAACTCAGAAAAACCTATTCACAATAACCAAGACATGGAAACCACCTAAATGCCCACTGAGGGATGTGCAAACTCCATATACTGAGATGCAACCTCAAGGCTGCATCACAGCCTAAGGCAAAGGCCCCTCAGAGACAACATACAGTGTGAATAGTGGAACCAGATCTGGCCCCTGGGCAGTAATTTGCCAAACCTGCTTTAGCACATAGTAGGTGCTCCAAATGCATCTGTTGAATGAGTCAATGGATATACCATGCCCCATGCAGCCTGTGCAGAGCCAGCAACACATATCCAAGACCAACAATTGAACAGCCCCTGGCACCCTCAGGATGGCCTCCCAGTCCTTGCTTCCCCTGAACCCCATCCTCCTGTTGCTCCATCCTCCAGGCTTGTCTCCGTAGGCACAGAAGCCAACCCTCCCCTCAAAGCCACCCCTTGGTAAGGAAGCTGCAGTGAAGCAGACACAACTCCCAAAGCCCAGCAGCTATGCAAATGTCCTCAGTAATAAAAGAAGTGGAAATTGAAAAACATAAAATAGATGATATAGGAGCCAAGCTGTGTCTAAATAGACCAGAGCTGAGTTTTCCATAAGGTGTCAGTGAGTCTTTAACATGTAAATGAGTTGCTTCCCTCGGGGGATTTTTAAAAGACCCTGTCAGCCATGAAACGTGTCAGTGGAAGAAAAACACCTTTCATTATTAAACCCTTTGCTAATGAATCACCTGTCCTCTTCTGTTTACTTGCCTTTTTGACTTTCACCTGGGTCACCTCTTGTGGTAGAGGGCCTATGGTAGGGGGTGGGGAGGGCTAAGGCCACCAAGATCTTGTAACCTCATCATTGGATAATAATTTTAGTAATAAGTACCCTTTACAAAGCCCTGTGCACTCATCATCTCATCAGGTATTCCACACCACCCAGAGAGGTGAGACAAACATTATTATCCCGATGTACAAATGAGGAAACCAAGGAAGACAGGGTGAGTAATCTGGCCTGGACAGCTCAGCAGGTAAGTGACAACGTAATAACCAGGGCCCATCTCTTTGGTGCAAGCGACCTCTTAGACAGAGACTCCCAGACTTGAGTCCTCTGCTCACAAGTAACAAACAAGTCATGTAGGCAGGGACTGCTCTCTACCATGTCCAGATGTGCCTGGCATGTGGAAGCCGCTACTTGGAGCCCTGGAAATCAACAGCATGGCACAATATCAACCAGTGCACCTCAATGGAAACCAATTCCACTCTATGAAATGTTTATAAGAGCTGTGTTGTTGTCAATCATTGATAACAATGAAATCCATCTCACTGACGTACAGGAAACACACCGGCAGGATATGAAACAAGTAACAGGAGAGTCGGGAAGTTGATAGTCAAATGAAATATCCACCCCCAGCAGAACTAAATGAGGAACCAAGCACTTAATGTTCATGGGGCCAATAAGTGACTAAGCCTTTTCAGTTACCTTTCATCCATGGGCCCCTCCCCATGCCACATTCTGGGCTAGTAAGTCTTCAATCACATTGCCCGGCTTGGTACACAGATAAAAATAGACACAAAGAAAGGCACGTAAGGCTCTAATGCCTTTAGGCCCATTAAGTGACCTCAGCCTCCTCCCATTTCCTAGATAGACTATTAGAATATGAGTGTAACTTCTGCTGGTCTGCTCCCAAGACTGGAAGAGACCCAACAATACATTACTCTCAGAGAGAGAGTTCCGATGTTCAGGAAAACCAGATTACTGACATGTATAAAACAATCAAAGAGGATGATATCGTCAGGTCTCAAGTCTGGAAAGATGCTGAGCTAACACCCAGGACCCATGGAGTCGGCCTAAGCAGCCTCGCAGGTAGGAATGCCTCCAAATGTAATCACGCTGCCTTTCCTAGTGTCTGATGCCCAGAAAGTGCTTGAATCAATATTGGTTAAATAAAGGAATTTCTGACTAATGCCCACTTCCCAGAATCAATGGAGGAAATAAATCTCACTCAGGCAAGGAACAGAAATTCTCCGTTCAGTTCATCCTGTAAAAAGAGATATTAAGGAGAATAATGGAAAACTGGGTGCAAAGGATAAACAACAGGTACCGAGTCAGCGAGCTTCCAAAGGGGCAGGGACAGCCCCATCTGTTGTTGTTTTTTTTTTTAAGATTTATTTATCTATGCATACAGAACTGGGGTACAGGCCAGAAGTGCAGGGGCAGTGAGAGGATCACCAGAGACAGAGTGGGGAGCAGAACAGACAGATATGACAAAGTACACTGCTGAGGGGAGCAGCAGGCAAGACAGGAGAGGTCTGCTATGCCATGTGGATCAGCTCAAGGCCCGGGATCGAACTCACACTGAGGCGGCTGCCACTAGCTTGGAGTGCTGCACTTTAACCCACTGCGCCACCAGGGAGGGCCTAGTCACATCTGTTTATACTCTACCTGTACAGCCACATTCCAGGGGCATACTGTTAGAACCCCACCCACAGGTAAAGACAGGCATTCCAGAAAAGGTAAGAAACTTCACAGGGATACCTAAGTGATGAAGCTGGATCTTGAGTATAGGTGCTCCAACCAAGGGTGAAGGAGAACAAGCAGCGTGAGCATCAGAGTGGGTCACTGGGGTCCCTCAGACATGGAAATCTAAACCCAGAAGGCTGATTCTGAGAGCAAAGGTGAATAGATGCCTGAACCAAGTCCTATTTTCATTTTATAGGATTTTATAGGTCATTTGTCCAACAAGAAACTAAGTATATGTCAGAACGGAATAATACGCTAACTCTCCCAGTGGAAGTCAAATCTCTTATCTGCCAGGGCTGTTGAAAAATTGCCAGGGCCCTCCCTGATGGTACAGTGGGTTAGGGCACAGCACTGTGAAGCTATCCAAAGCTTCAGTTCAGCGGGAGTTCTATCCCTAGCCAGAGAGGTGACCCATATGGCAAGGCAGACCGCTCCTGGCCTTCCCACTGCTCCCCTCAGCAGTGTACTTCAGTGATTCTGCCTGTTCTGCTCCCCACTCTGTCCATTCTGTCTCTGGTGAATCCTCTCACCCCCTGAATCTCTGGCCTGTACCCCAGTTCTTGTATGCATAAATAGGTGGATCTTTTAAAAACAGAAGAAAAATAGCCAAACAAATAACTTATTATATGGTGTAACTCTGGAAAAATAACACAAAGATGGACTAATGGAAATCTGTCTATAAAGTAATAAGGAGAGGAGCGACATTTGAAGAAGTCTTATGTACGTGTTTACTACAGATAAAGAGGTTAAACTGGCAAAATGGCAAAGTGGCCCATATCTGGATGTGAAATGTTGGCGCTTTCAAGTTTTTTTGCTTTTGTTTTTTTTTTGCCTATTACAGTGACACTCAAAAGTGAGGTCCCCCCCCCCCCAGCAGCATCGACCTCTGTAAGAGCATGTTGGCAAGGAAATTTTTGCTCCCTACCGCAGCCCTACTAAAGCAGAAACTTTGGGGCTGAGGTCGAGGAGTCTATGCAGAGTCCAGGTGATTCTCGTGCAAACTGAAGTCTGAGGACATTGCAATAAGAAAATGTTCAACGAAAATGTGTGAAGGCAGGAAAAGTCTAATTCACTTCAACGTGGCAACTACTTCCTGAGCACCCAAGCACTACACTACTTCCTGTGTGCCAAGCATCATAGAGGTGATGGATCAATCCTTGAGTTGACTTCCTAATTGGTAAAAAAAATAAATGCGACTTAACCTGGGGAGTCTTCTAAAGTTCGGCACACTTGGGCTGTCCGAGCACCAATTTATTGTGCAAATCTGAAGCACAGGTTCTGCAAGGTGCTGAATGAAGATAACGCACGCTCAGAAGTCAGGAACCTCTAAGTGGCCAGCGGCTCTCACCCAGAACAGGCCCAGTCCAGGCCGCCTGCGCTACATCCCGCCCGCCCGCGCCCAGAGACCGAAAGGGTGAGGGCATGGGGTGAGCACCTGCTGCCCTCACCAGCTCCGGCCCTACCTGCCCGCAGGCCTGCGCCACCAGTCGCCAGCCCACGCCTCCGCCCCCTGGAGAGCCAGACTGGAGTCACCGCTGAGGGGCGGGGCACTGCCAGCCACCCCGTGCACGTGGCCGCGCGCCGGGCCCGGGTGACAAGGTCACAGTCCGGTGTTCCGTCCCGGCTCCGGCGGCCGCAGCAGCAGCCTGAACAGGGCGGGAGCCCTGAGCGTCCACACGCTGCCCCCACGCTGGCGCGCTGCACGCGCTGAACGGCCTCGGGGCGCCCGCCTCCCGGGGGGCTAGCCCTACTCACCCCCAGGGAAGCAGAACCCAGGCCGACTACCCGCCGCAGCCAGGTGGCCCGGGATTCGCAGGGAACTTTGCTCATCTCCACCCCCTGCTCGCGCCTGGTTGAGCCGAGTTGCCGCGCGGCCTGCCGGGACTTGTAGTTCTTCTAGGTTCCGCCAAACGCTTGGACACCGGCCAAAGAATCTCCGCGGTCGCGCTGGACCACTCCACGCGGGGAGGCTGACAGCGTCCCCGACACTTTACCTCTCGTTTGGCCTTGTTAAGTTACCTGGTCTGCAGACACGGAATCTTCTTGTTTTCACGAGGCTTTTCAAATAGGTCATAGATTTGTGTTCCGTGGAAAATGTGTTGTGGGTTTGTGAGTTTTGAAAGTATTAGAACAAACAGGTGAGGAAAAAATTTGCCCGGAGTTGCTGAATGATAAGAATGTGCTGATTTATCTTAGTTATCATTTGTCTTCATTCGTTCGTTGACCTCTATTTATCGAATGTTAATTTTTTAAGCTGTGCTTTGGAGACATTCATCAGACACTCCTTCTGCATCTCTTGAGCTTCTTCCAGGGGGAACACGGGTGAGCAGGGCATTCATTCATCATTACAATGCAATTGCTATCAGATTTTCCACTAGGACTTTCTGGACCCTCACAAACTAATCTAATATTTATTTTCAAACAAATGAAAGGGCAAAACATAGCCAAACACTCTCAAAGGAGAGTAACCTGTTTCAAGGACTTAGCCTTCCATATATCAACATATCTTCTAAAGCTGCAAAAATTAAGAACATTTGGTATTAATATAGGGACAGGCTGGTCGTGGGGGTTAGGGAATGCAGCTTACAGAATCCAGAAACAGAACCAAGCATATATGGAATTCTGATACATACCAAAGCTGGCAATTAGATCAGTGGGAAAATATATACTACTCAGTATATGAATTGAAACAATGAATTCCCTGTTGGATCCTTAATCCCTCTTCCACACACAAAATATGACTCTAGGTACATTAAAAATGTTAAGGGAGAAAAGCAAAATCAAAAATCTTTATTTCACTTTTATATTTTTTAGAATGTAATTTCTTCATTTATTGCATTGTGAATAATCTATTTTTGATAAATATCCTCACTCCACACCCTCCCACCCCCACCAAGGGACTCATGGTCCGCCCTCCCCATAGTCCACTGTGCTCCCTTCTCCCTCTTCAAGCTTGGAAAATCAGGAATTTTGAAGGAAAACATTCTTATTATTTCAAAGTCGGGTTTTTTTTTTTTTAATGACTGGCACAATCTGTAAATAAGACATTGATAAACATAGGCAACTTAAATTTAAAAATTTCTTTCCATAGGAAGGTAAAAAGGAAAAAATAAGCCACAAACTGGAAAATAGCAGCAGTAATATAAAGTTGAATAGTACAACCCATCTCAAGTTTAAAAGTTAAGGTGTTAAGATGAGAATAATAACTTCCAGGTGGTATAAAAAGCATTATGATAGCAGTATAAGCAAGTAGTATAGAAAGACAAAGAAGGGAACATTTTGTTTGCCCAGAAAATTTTGAGATTCTCCATAAACTAAGAACTAACTTGTAGACTGGGAATTAAAGGCTGAATAGGGGCACCCCAAGAGAAGTGCCAAGGAGCAACCCAGGCAGGCAAAGAAAAAAAAATTATATGAAAGAGCATAAAGATAGAGTAAAAGAAAAATAAGCCATATAAAGCTATTTAATTTTTAATCAACTTATTTATTTTACATTGTTTACAAAACTATACCATTTCAGGAGTATAGCTTCACACTTTGGTATATGTACATGTTTTACCCACCCACCACCAAAGTTCTAGTGGCACAGCACTCTCAAACTGGCCCCCTTTACCCTTTCCTCTTCCCCCCTTTCTTCTCTGGTAACTCCTGTATTTCAGAGGCTGAGGGTTATTTTTGTTATGACTTGCCAGTTTGTTCACTTGGTTTTTATAGTCCACACATAATAAGATCATCTGGTCTCTCACTTTCTGGCATATTTTGCTTAGCATAATCTCAAACCTATATATATTTTTAGAAAAGACAAGGCTTAATCTTTTAATGTCTGAGTAGTATTCCATTGAGTGTATACACCACATCTTCTTATCTCTGTAAGTAATGCTGCTATGTACATAGCAGTAAGGGTGCAAATATCCTTTTGAATTAGTGTTTTAACATTTTTCAGCTACTTATTAGTGATATTGCTGGATTGTATGGTATTTCTATTTTTAGTGCATAAATCCATTTAAACAAAAAATAGAAGTTCTGAAACCACAAAGAATAGAAAAACATATTAAAAACTTGATGCGTTTATTATAATTGAACTTTTAAGTTAATGAATTTGTTGCTAGCAGTTAACTTTGAGGAATGGGAATGAGGGAAGGAGCCAGAGTACTATTAGTTTATACTCATTGCCCTTTTGTAATATTTGAATTTTTACATTTATAACTTTTTAATTTAAAAATATTTTTAATTTAAAAATTATAACTTAACAGATGTCCACTTCAACTGGATTTTTTTCAAAGATTTATTTATTTATGCATACAGAGCTGGGGTACAAGCCAGAAGTGTAGGGGCGGTGAGAGGCTTCACCAGAGACAGAGCTGGGAGCAGAACAGGCAGATCCACGAAGTACACTGCTAAGGGGAGCAGCGGGTGGGTCAGGAGAGGCCTGCCATGCCATGTGGTCACCTCCAGGGTGGGCGGGGAATGAACTCCTGCTGAAGTGGCTTCAGCTTCTCAATGATGTGCTTTAACCCCCTGCGCCACCAGGGATGCCCTTCAACTGGGTGTTTTTTTTTTTTAAAGATTTATTTTATTTGTACATACAGAACTGGGGTACAGGCCAGAGGCTCAGGGGCGGTGAGAGGCTTCACCAGAGACAGAGTGGGAGCAGAACAGGCAGATTGACAAAGTACACTGCTGAGGGGAGCAGCGGGCGGGTCAGGAGAGGTCTGCCACGCCATGTGGTCACCTCCGGGGCAGGCGGGAATCGAACTCATACAGATGTGGCTTTAGCTTCTCAGTGCAGTGCTTTAACCCGCTGCGCCACCAGGGAGGGCCTCAACTGGGTTTTTAATATATCCATTTAAATCCACTCCTTCCTGAAATCCTGTGAAATGACAGCAGAGGAATTCAAAAGTATAAAAACCCCATGGGAAAAAGTAAGAAGACAAAGGTAAAAAAAATCAAAACATAAATGTAAGAAGCTCCAAAGCAGATAGGCAATTGAGGCACTTTTAAATAAGCTGGTGCCTAACCCCAGCCCCAGAAATTCCAAGTGTAGAGTCTAATCTGGGGTTTGCCTCCATAATTCTTGACAGCTCCCCTGGTTATTTAATGGGAGCTCAGGGGAAAGGCCAGGAAGCGCCCAAGTAGTGAAGGTAGGTGGTTTGAGAACAGTGGTCTCAGCCACATCAGAATCAGCTGACTATACCCTGGATCATACCCTGGACCCAAATCCTTTTTCATGGATCCCAATCAGAGATATTTATAGCTCATGGGGGGATTTTAATGCTCAGACAAAATGAAATACCTCGATTTCAAGTTAAAGAATTTCACTTGAACTGCGTTTTTCCAAATTTCACATAGCTTTGTTTTTCTTCGTGGTAAAAAGGTATTTTTCCTTCTTAGCCACAACTATTATCTGATCTACCTACCTCAGAGGTTCCTTAAAGGATGAAGTGAGATGGTGTGTGTGCTTTGGAGATGGAATATTGCTGTTCAGGGGTGTTCCACTGCACTGAGAAAAAAAATCCAAATTCTTTCCTCCCTCACCCTGTATGGCCCATGGTCCCACTCTCTCCAGCCATTGGGGAAGGAGGTCCACAAACTCAGGTTTTAGGGACTCCAGCCCACCCCAAGCCAAAGAGTTCCAAGACACCAAGGACTGCAAATCCCATAATGTCAGCTCCTCCGAAAGGAAAATCTTGGGGACTGAGGGTGGAGTTAAACAGCCAGGCTTTGTATGTAACCAGACATGTGGGCCGTGGAGGTTTGTTTGTGCTGGCCTTCAGTGTGCTCTTGGAACTGGTAGAATGTATTCACCAATTTACTTCTCTCTCTCCCTGCGTTATTCTTCTCTTCATTTCCCCTTTTGGTAAAAAAAAAGTCTTTATTAACTTTTTGTGTTTGCCTCCAGGTGGGCCTCATTATAAGTCTTTTTTTTCTTTTTTTTTTTTTAAGATTTATTTATTTATACATACAGAACTGGGGTACAGGCCAGAGGCTCAGGGGCGGTGAGAGGCTTCACCAGAGGCAGAGTGGGGAGCAGAACAGGCAGATCGACAAAGTACACTGCTGAGGGGAGCAGCGGGCGGGTCAGGAGAGGTCTGCCTCGCCATGTGGTCTCCTCCGGGGCAGGTGGGAATTGAACTCATGCGGAAGCAGCTTTAGATTCTCAGTGCAGTGCTTTAACCCACTGCGCCACCAGGGAGGTCCCCATTATAAGTCTTTTTTTAAGTGCAAGAGTGAGAACCCACACTCAGGCCAACCTATTTCACATTGGGTTTCACATTGGGGTTGGCCTATAACACAGTCTTATTTCCCATCCTCCTCTCCACTCCCTTACTCTGTTCTAGTCACATCAGCTCCCTCCTTATTCCTCAGTCTGCCAAACTGGCTGCTGTCTTGAAGCCCACTTATACTTCTTATTCCTCCTTATCATTGACGATCTCTTCTATCCCTGCGATCTGTTCTCTGCTCCAGCATCCTCCATCCCTGATGACCTTTACCTTACCACCTCCACCTCTCCACGTTCCATGAGTTACTTTCT